GAATGAATGGGATAGTGACCGGCAACGAACAGATAATCGGCCCTGAAAGACGTGTACATCGTCTGGTAACCTGGAAGGGAGACACTCTAAAGGAGCACCTTAAAAGATTACTTCTTAAGTTTTTTCTACACCCTGCATAACAGTTGGGCGTTGAACACCTACTTGGGGGACTGATATACTCACCGGCTTGAGTTCAAATTCTTCGCAATCCACTTCCATTGCTTTTCAGCTTTCTCCACGTCACTAGGTCCCTGAAACGATGTTGAAGTTGTTTCTGAACCCATGGGCACTGAGCCAAGCTGACCGTGCCAATCATAAAGAAAATGAAGATACGAAAATTCAATGGTAAAGCGAACTCGATTTCAAAGTTATGTATCGCCCAGGCCATGTCCTCTCCCTTGAAACGATGCCTAACCAAAAAATGGCTAGCAAAGAGATCTGGTTTGTCGACATCCAACTGCTAAGGTATCCATGAGGCATCAAAAAGGGTATACTACAAAGAGGCATGCTAATGCTGACATTGACCAAGAGCTCAGAACAGTTAGAAATGATGTCTTCTCACTAAACACAGCAGAACCTCTCACAAGATGTAGGTTATGCAATGAGTTCCATACTCAAAATTGATAGCAAAGTGGTCCATTCAAGTATACAATTGCTTTGAAGTACAGTAATTGTATAGAGTGTCCACTTAGAATAAATAAAGTCCGAGTTGTTGTAAATCCACCTCCTGCCAAGCCCTTGGACGGGATTTTTTGATTCGATCACTCTTAGTCGATTTTTTTTTCAAGCTCACTGCTTTTTTTTTGAACTATTTTTCGAAGCGTCTCCCGAGTAACTCACCTCCGGATCATGTGACCGATTCCAGAGCATATCAAAGAAACCTCCATTCTGGATATCAGCTGTATTTCCACAAAGTACGATTGTGTCCAACATCAGAACGTCTATTGTGGTATTTTTTATGTGGAATGACAACTTGTAGTACAAGTCGGGAAAATTCCTGAAAGTTTGAAGCCATTCATATTTCTGAATCCATTTGCAGTTATTCTTTTTATGCTGTAATAAAAAAAAATTTCTGGGTCTTTACTCACAAGAAACCTTAAAATGATATTTCTTGCAAAAACTTTCAAAACCGAGCCAAAGGAAATTGGATGTGTTATTGCTATTTGCATTAGAAATGAAATTCGAACTAGGCAAGTAACATAGAACAAGGTAAGTAATTACTATCACAGATCTCGTATGTATATCGTTTTGTGAGAATCAAGGTCGTGGCGTTTACCACGATGAACCCATCAATTGACTTGCTCCGATCAGAAAATTAGGGGATCAAATAGTAGAACTTACCATTTCCTACTGTATCTTGAGTAAGCAACCTGAGCGCTGACATTACCAAAGTGATCATGGTTACCGGCTATCAAATACCACGGCACTCTCAATGCATCCGTATTGTAGATATCTTCGAAAGAAGTCTAAATCAAATCATTTTGGGTACACCGATCCTTCAATATATTTGGTCTGTAAAAGTTGTAGCAAAAGTGTTGGCTAACCTGAAATCGTGAATCGTACTCATTCGAGACACCCGTGAAGTAAATATTGTCGCCAACGCTCAGTACATACTTCACGTTTTTTTCGATAGCCACGTCAGTCATCGCTTTAGCGACTTTCTTCTGTGCGTATGTTACGTATGGATATATGGGCAGCCCTAAAGTAGCTCTTTCAGAAACAATTTTCTTTTTAACTCCTACATAGTTACAGAGCAATTCTTGGATAGGACTTTTTCCAAAAGGTATCTGAGCTGTTGGCGAAACTTCACTACTTCAACCCCAAAATGGGATCGAACCAGAACCTTTGTTCTATGGGTATTACGCCAAGAATATATTAAGGTATTGCAAGGTCTTATTCATTTCCTCGATCATATTTACCTCTTTTTAGAGTCCTAGAACCTCAATATTCGTGAAAATCATGTAGGGGTGCGAATAGACGTCGTGATCACAGGTGTGCTTCGTTATTTCTAATACCCACCATATCAAACTGAGATTTCTATCCTACCAGATTTGCACCTCGCTAAACAGCGATTACGGGTAGTATGCAATATGCCCGACTTTAGCATTTATAGTCAGTGCCTCCAGTCTTTGTACAGATTGAATACACACAGGTTAAGCACACATTCAATCCCCACAGCTGTTTTGAGTGGAGATCGAATGTATGGGAGCACTGCAGAAAATATTCATCAGAGCGAACAACTGCATTTCCCGAATTGGATCCTTGGGAGTAAAGTTCAAGTGTATAATGAAAATGATGGAATTAAAATTTGAGGAGGACTTTGTCCGGGGGGACGGTCAAGTCGTGCGTCCGAGGGTGCGCGCGGCTAATTGCGCGGCGAAGTGCGTGGGGATTTGAACGACTCTGAAGCCAATTTTCGGGGCACAAACTCGAAGTAGACTAATTAAGCAGGGTCAAATTGTCCTTCTAATCTACTTTACTTGGAATTTGGGCCCTGATGATAGGCGCTAAAATTTATCAAATCGTTACGAACTTNGCCGCGCAGTTTGCCGCGCGCACCCTCGGACGCACAACTTGACACATACCCCTTTGTCCGTATGTTTGGTAAGGATGAGAAGAGCAGGTGCGGTGACAAATGGTTCACGCTATTGCTTACATCCATGTACGGGTATCGGATAACGGATCGGACGACCCGTTTAGGTCAATCAAGCCTCCATTCCTTCTGGTCTGTTATTTGGTGCCAAACTGGTCCGGTAGTGCGAAAACACTGGCTTGAATCCCCACAGCAAGTCATTGTACAGGACACGTACGCGTTCAATGCGCCACCACGATTCTGAGCGGAAGTCAAGTACGAGGATCAGAGGGTTTTTTGACGCTAATGAAGTTTTTTTTCTTTTAATGATTTTCGGGAATGTCCAGCTCAGGCAAATGAGGAAAAGAATTCCATACCTCCTGTATCTCCAACGAGCAAAATACGTAATACATCACCAGAGGGTTCTTCAGTAATGACCTTACGTACAGGGTCACCGTCGAGTTCAACATAATTTGCTGAAACAGTACGATTACGGTGAACTAGCAGAAATAATACTGTACATCATTATATAATTCTTTATTCGTTACTGGTTGTATAGGTACGTCAAATCGCCCCCCCCCCCTATTTAAGAAAAAAAAGAATCAAAATTTTTTTAAGTGAAACTGACACACTTACATGTGATTGTGCCGACGAGAACGACTGCCAACATGGCAAGGGTTACAAGAGCTATGTAACTACGGTGCATCTCCTTTACCTATCTGAAGAAAAAAAATTGTAAATAAATTGAAATAACAACAACAAAACGAAATGCGCACAAAAATGGCTTATGATAGGAGTAAAAACAGAGAAAAAAAGATTACGTTGAAATGGGTGAAGAATGGCATATTCTTTAGAAATTCGCCAAAAGCCACAATATTGATGGGCTTTTCAAAGAACGTTTTAAAAGCTTTCTTAAAGGCCTTCGGAAATAATTTAAGCAGCACGAACGAATGTTGGAGCTTTCCGAGGTGACTTTCGTTTGATTCGCAAAAACTAGACATTGTAACCATTCGAGTCGTAAAGAAAAAAGCTGACGTAGTAACGAAATCGTGAAACATGTGGGCCACCGCATTCTTCTCCCTTCCAGAATCGTAGTGTTGAATGGGTAATTGGCCTATACAAACGTGCGGTGGCCTGCCGATGTATAATTTAGTGCTTTTGTTCTCCTAAACGAGCCTGGTATCAATTAACCAAAGCCGGAGTCATGGAAGGCTTGGTTGGCGTGGGCGAATATCGATTCGGGATTTGAACCGGTGACCATGCGTGTGTGAAAAGCGCCACTTGCCACTATGTACATTACCTTCTTACCTTCGCCCTAATGGTACATCTAGAAGAATATGTAGAACAGCATAGTCAATACTGGGAACAAGTGGCACTTGAAAACCACCGGCCACTAGCCTCAAAGTTCATTGATAATATTCAGATTTGAAATTTAGCATAAGGAAGATATCCTGCCCGTGGCTCTTAGGATGCAGCTCTAGGCAGCATCACACATGACTAGTAACATGAACCCTTTAGAAACTCTGAATGGAGCTGAAACAAGCCTTACTTACATCTGCACATCCTAGAATTCGGGCGGAGGTGGTATTATTTCAGGTGGCCCTCTATAAAATGCATGGTTCAGTGATCGAATCTCGAGGCCGAACAAGCTTTTCACGCCTTTGAGGGCTTTGTTCATTGGCTGGCCCTTCTTAAATCCTTTGCAAATGCCAAATACGCAATCAAACGTCACTACGTTTTAAACGGAAGTCGTTCTATGGGCGTATTCCAGTGAGTTTCAATATCCCAAGATGTCAAAGTTCAATTTGAACAAAGCGACATGATTCACAGTAACGATAACGAACTGAAAGGACTCTAGAGAAGGAAGAAACATCGTGACTGCTATGCCATAAGACTAGCTTTCGCCCATTTGAAGACATTTAAGACGACATTAAAGCAAGAAACATGACTGATGAACGGGCATATGAGTAATATGTGACATTTGGGAGCTAATTTTTATTATTTCAATAGTGTGAGTCATCACTCGATTGAAATTCAGTGGTGATTTCCATTCAGCTTCGAATTCATCAGCCCACTGGGGTTGCGGAGGGTTGCGGTGCCCCGAGATAAATCATTCACCCCAGAACCTGCCTAGCTGCAACGGATCAACCCAGTTCATCTCCAGAAAAAAGGAAAATTAATATTACGGGGGAGGGGGGTAATTGATCACTAAAGATGTAAAGCATGTATAAATGAAGACTAGAGAGACCTATGTTCAACGAATAATAGTGATTTTCCATTTTCTGGTACAAAAATACCTTATATGGAGATGAATCTCGATATTTGAATTTTTTTTTGAAAAGCCCTTATTTGCTCTCTAATTGTGACCTCATCGAAGTAGTTGACATTGACAGTTTATCCCTTGTGAAGTTCATAAATGGAACTATTTGCTGCTCTCTCCTGAGTAAATAGTTCCGTTGAACCTAGCAGAGCACAAGCACAAAATTTTGCCATGTAAAGATAAGGAGAATATCGACTGAAATTTGTAAAATAGCCCAGATTTCTTACGGAATTTTCTGGAAACTTCCATTGGACCACTGTAAAAGGACATTACTGACTTTTATGCGCACTTCATATTAGCAGACTTCATGATTTCGCACTCGGTTGACCAGATGGAGGCTTATCTTCGACCTTTTCGTTTCGGGCTTTGAGGAGTAGTGCTTCGAGTTGGACATAGAAACGCTCGAAAAGGGGCTCCAAGAAAAGATGCCAAGCACAAGTTTCAATGGATTTTAGCAGCGGAGTGGCCGGAATCAAACTAATAAAGAAGTACATGTTGAGTATGGGTAGACAGCGGTCATTATGTGTCTTATAAGTAGAAGCCGATTATGGTCGCGAATAGGAATGGGCTCAGCCTAGGGTACATAATAAAAACACTGCCAGGCCAAAATTTTCGCCAGATACAGCCTAATATTGGAAATTAGAATTTATTTGATATTATTATTTCTTAAGAGGCCATTTCTGACATTTAAAAAAAAAGCAAAAAAAAGTGACTGGTTCTAGCGAAGGTTAGCTCTGAGGTACTCGGTTGACACGATATTCTTTGCTCTCTTCTAAAATATAGCTACAAATCACAAATAGCATTATCAGGAAAGATCATCTATAAATACAGTCATGCTGAGGCCCATGGAAGGCCGTATATTGAAATCATCTGTTTATTCATACGTTCTGTGACGTCACGGGTACTATTCGGAGATCTGTTTACTGTTTAGTACAGGGATGTACTGATCGTGGTGGAGGAAAGCATGGGAAGTAAATCAAGTGAGGACAAAAAGCGATCGGGCAAAAAACAATGTAACAAAATGTTAGATATTGAAATTCGTCAAACAAAGTATTAGTAGACAATCAATAATTGTGTATATATATAATAATAACTAACCAATAATTAGCGGACAAACCAATAAAGCAAATCATATAAAAAGACTGAGGAATGAGATCAAGTGGAACAGCTGTACTGTGAAGAGTTGGGTAGAAGTTTATTTATCTCAAAAAGGGCCAAAATGTTTACGAGTTGGTAAAAGGTTGATAAGGAACGATAGTAATGACCTTTAAAGTAAATATTTAACTAGTTACACTGATCAGTCTGATCAACGGTATCAACGAACTCGGATTGTGGTTCGTGCTACGATGCGCCCGACTCAACAATGACGTCGTATTGTATACATTACGATTGTTTGGTAACACAAGCGGACGACCCATCAACGACGAGACTAATCAAATGCGAAAAAAGCGATCAAGGGGCAATAAAGTACTACAGTCGAATACCAGTGGCTTCAGCCAGTTACCAGCCAGTAGAATTGACGATATCACTATCGCCGCTCATCGCCACATCGGATTTATTGGCTGTGAATCGATTGATTTTCAGCGATTAGGTCTCTCAGTGTGTTCATTAGCAGGGGATTAATACAAACAATCATAAAAAAGACCTTGGCCTTGATCGGACCTGCCAGTGGGATGCGCCCCCGCATTTGAATTCCATTCAGGATCATAGGGGTAATTCAAACACGTGTTTAACCTATCCAGTGACATGGGATAGGCAGCTGACGTCCAAATCAGTGCTTTTGTCCTCCCAGAGAAGCCCGATTCCAATTAACCGAATCCGAAGAGATGGATGACTTAGTCGGCTTAGGCGGCTATCGATTCGGGACTCGATCCGTGGACGGTGCTTGTAAAACAGTATGCCAATGCACCACCTTTATCGTCAGACTGTAAACAAAATCAGCAAAATATTTGTGATAAATTAATATCAAATGTGTACATTTTTGTTTAAATTTTTCCTATTTACTTATTCTACATACCCTCTTTTTGATTGTTTCATTCAATTTATATTATATATATGTAGATGTAGGTTTAATTTGTTTACACATTTATTGGTATACCCAAAAAGCATCATCACAACAAAATTAGAGACTTATTTTTGATTCAATTCACTTTCGATTTTATACAACAATATTAGTTTATATTAATTTAATGCTGGTAATCATTGTTAAAAGTTCTATTTTTACTTCTTATACATGACTTTTATGTTACAAATATTCGTACAAGTAATGTAAATAAATAAGGCTATAAAACTAACAAATCATGATAGGACCGTACCGTATTTTACCGTATTTTTACCGTATTTTTCCACAGTTGATAATGAATTTCCGGAATTTTTCAGATGTTTAAAAGAATTCGGATGAAAAATGTCCATTTCAGACGTATTGTATGAAGCTTAGAGCGAATGTAAGCATAAATGAAGCGATTGCTATCAATAGAGAGATTTAATACGATGTATTTCAATAAATAGATTGAGTCATAATTTTCCTTTCATAGGCGTGAATGGAGCGATGAATAACTGTTCCTTCTTTGTCACAAACTGAGTCAGCTGAAAAACCGATAGGTGCTGATCAAGGATGGACAAATAGGTGGGAATCGGTCGGCTCGGAATGATACCATCTACCTTTAGCGTTGGCCATGGAATCCGTATGAATAAATTCTTGCGAAGTGTCGAATGTCCACTTGAGATCACTTTTTATTGAATTTCAACTTGTTTCCTGATAAACAAGCAAACAGTAAACAATGAGCAGTAAATATCATTCATGCGAACTTCACTTTCAAAGGTATATTGCACTGTTCTGTTCTTTCCCATTTAGTCAGAGGCTGACTCATCCATCGAATGCGCCGAACTGGGTGAAATGAAAATTCACTTCCTGGGCAGTGGATTGAACATATCATAGCGTCAGTAATCACATCGAAGACCTGAAATTCTTTTTAGTAATTTCCAGTGTCATATGCCAATCTCTGTTCTTGCCTCAAAATCCTCATCCCGCATCTCCCTGAGGGTCCCATTCATTTTTGTTGCGGTCTGATCCATGTTTTGAGTTATTTTGAGGAATTTTTCCAACCCTGCAGGGAGTTCAACCATAAGATCGTTGGCATTTTGCTTTTCTCTTTTATTTAGCTTGCCGTATTTTTGTTGTACTATTCGACTTATTCTTAAAAGCCAGCTTTTCTGTCTTGCGAATCTATCTTCTTCAGTGGTCTCTAATGGAAACCGATGTTTGAAATGTCAACTATTTATTTGAAGTAACGCTGAAGTCTGACTTCCGCTAACCTACCCTGAAGGGATGGAGAGATTGATTGGTGTGGATCTAGGATCTGGAATCGGCACTTCCTAGCTTCATATGCCACATCAACCAGACGGTTTCACTAAAACAGACCTCAATCTGGAAAATCCAAAAGCAAAAATAGTGCTGGCAAGTTCAAGAGAACGTGGCTTTTTTCGAATATAAAGTTTTCTTTTATAAATAAATAGCTCTTCCTTCTTACCAGTTGGGCAACCGCGTTCTCATGCTGTTGGTTTGACCTCTCCCCTGATTTCGTGGGCCTACACCCCCTTTTTTTTTT